CTCGGCAAGGGCAAAGGGGGACCCGCCGCCAAAGTGCCACCCTTGCCCCGGGACAGCAAGCCTTGAACGCGGGTGGGAGCTGGGTCCCACCGCCGGCTGAAGTCTGGGGAGCAGGAGAAGATGCGGGGGCCAGCGAAGGCCGGGGGCGGGGGGGCCGCCGCCAGGGCTAGGGCTCCGGGAGCGCTCGGAGGAGCGAGCGCCGGTGCCGGGAACACTCAGGCTGCGGAGCAGAGAGCCAGCGGCTGCCGCCAGCCGCGTCTCCCGCCGTTCCTCTCAGAAAGGAGCCTCAAAGTTTGGAGAACTCTCGGTTTTCTTTTTAAATAACTCCATCTAACTTTTCTCCTTTTTTTTCCCCCCGTCTAAATCTGATAAAGCTCAGCAGCAGCTCTTACATGGAAGTTAGCGTTTTCCACCAGCTATCGAATAATTGAATAATGTTTTGTTCTTACCTTTGATGCTGAACTACGAATTCCCGCGGATCAATGGCCAGAAAGTTAGAAGAATTGGTGATTTAGGACTTCAGTACTTCTGGAAAAAAAAATGCCAATGGTTTAGCCAGGATCTTCCCTGTCTGATTCGTTACTATTATTATATCTGATGATGTGGATGGATGGATGGAGAGATTCAATCCAAGCCCATTAATGAGCTATTTTATAAACACCACCGTCTGAAGATCTTCATTTACATTTTGTCAGTGATCCTTTCCTTAACAGCGGAGACGTGTGGCGACAGCGCGATTACAGGACTTTAGTAAAGCTCCTATAAGAGTACGACTGGCTTGTTAATCGATTAATATTTTATTAAGTGTAAATATTTTATAAAGTTTTTAGGAAAGCTATCGATTCTAAATTATTAAACTAGTCAGAAGGGCATTTGAATAATGCATACAATTAAATACATTTAAATATATATGTAGCGATTGCTTCATTTGCAATGAATCCCCTGCACCTTTCTCTTGCTTTCGTTTTTTTTCTCCACGGGCAGCTGGTTTCTCATTTGCGCATTCACTGGAGTATCAGGATGGTCATATATATGTTTATTCCGTATTTATAAACTGAATGTTTACATAAAATACTCTTTGAAAAAATAACATTGAGATCGGGAGCGGTAATAATTTGAAAATTTTGACGCAGAAGCAAAGGGGATTGTTAGTGAAACAAGGAAACTGAACCGAGTTTGTATAAATTTTGCTGGTTGGTAACTTCTGTTTTGTAAACATCACTTAATTTAGACAGATTTTATGAAGCACGATGCTTATTTTTCTTTTACATATTTTTCCCAATAAAAGCCTTTTCTTTCTGTTTTAAATTACAAACACTTTTTTTTCCCTCGTTGCATGATTTTCACATGTTGTCCTTATTTCCACTGGAAAAAAAAGGGCGATTATTTCCCATCGCTTTCCTCATCCGTCTTCAATGTCGCAATTTAAAAAAAAAGATTTTTTTACTATTATTAATAACCTATTTTTTTCCTTACACGAACTCCAGTACGAGAATTTTTTGCTCTCGCACTCTGTTGAGAGCAGGAGTGGATGCGTTCCGAGCGCCCAGCTCTCCTTGTTGCTGAAGTTCATGGACGCCTTAAGTGGTTGATTGCCAAAAAAAATTTGAACAAAAACACCTCCTTGGAAAGGTTTGGTTTTCATTAACTACCGCTCTTAAAGCCAGAACGCATGGAAGCGATCGCAGCTCCGTGCCCGCACAGGCTCCAGTGGCGGGCGGCTACAGCCGGGGCTGCCGCGGGCCCCCGGGGAGCCGGGGCGGCCTCGCCCCGCTCAGCCGGCCCGAGAGCTGCCCGCCGTGGTCTTGGCAAGATCCACCGGGGCCCGGGCGCTCTTTCTCGCCTCCTATTGTCTCCCTCCTGCCCAGTGACTTCCCGGGGCCACGGCACCCGCGGACGCAGGGCTCCCACGGGGGCACTTGGCCCGCGGCCGAACAGTCCTGTGGGGACGCGGACCCGCCGCCCGCCGGCACCGCCTCGGAGCGCGGAAGATCCCGGGATGCCGCGGACAGGCACAAGTGCGGTGGGATCGGAGCGGGGCGCGCCCGCGCAGCACCGGCGGGGCAGGCGCAGGATTCCCCCCGCGGGGGCGGCACGGCGCAGCAGGCTACACGCCAGTGCGCCGGGGCAGGCGGAAAGGAGGCAGGTGGCGCCGCAGGGCGAGGGCTCGCCGCTCTTCGCCCTCGGGCCAGGCTTTCTCGCGGCGGAGACCCGAGGCCCGCGCCACTCCTGGGGGCCGGACCACCCGCTGACCGTCCCGGCGCCTTCGCCTTCCACAGCGCCATTCGCGCGGGCACCGGCGCCGGCGCAAGCCCGAGGGCGCCGCTGCTACTACGCCCGCCCGCAGGCCCCCCGGCGGTTGCGGGACGGCGCAGCACCTGGGCCGCGGGGCCGGGCGGGGCCTGCCGCCGCCCTCCGCTGCACCTTCAGCCCCGCTTGCGGGCGCTCCCGCCCTGCCGCCACGTGCCGTCGAGGCTCCGGGCACCGGATGGGGCAAGGCGGTGGCACGGCAAACCCGCGGCGGGCGCGCCTGGGGACCGACCTCCTACCCGGCCGCGTTTTTTTCGCGCTCTCCTCGCGGGCTGGGAAAGGCGCTGGGCAGCCGAGGAGCTGAGCTCCTCTGCGCCTCTGCGGGGCGGCTCTGGCATCAAGCTCTCCCTGTCGGGGACGAGCCGTCTAACCTTGCTGCCGTAGGAGGGATTCCCACCCCTCTATACTACCGCGACCCCTCGTTCAGCGCCAGGTTCAGGAGGTGAAGCCAAAACGAAACGAAAATGTCCCTGAGCCCAAGGGCTGGAGGAGCCCGGCCCTGCCCGCAGCACTTCGAGGGGGGAGCTCTGCCTGTCCAGCGACAGAGTTGGCCGGCGGGACACCCGGCGGGGCCGGCCATTTTTTCGTCCTTTCACCAGCCGCAAATGCCGCTGGCTTTCCCCTGCGCAGCCCAGGATAACACGGGGCGTGCTGTCACGGAGGGGAGCGCGGGGCGCTGCGGGGCGCCTGGCGAGTTCTCCCGTCGCTCTCGCGGTGCACCAGCTGCCTCGGCCCCGCGGGGCGCCCGCTCTGCCTCCCCTGCGCACCGTCGCCTGCCTCCAGCCCCATCGGGGTCCACGCGTCTCGTTCGCCCTGTGCCAATGGAATAAGTAAAATTAAAAACAACAAACCAAAAGCGTCTTTACGGCGCCTGAGCTCCGACCAAAGCTTTTCGGGACAGCAGTATCCCTGCAGACCTACCCTCGCCTCTATCCTTCCCCTCACTGGTTTTATTAGTAAGTCTTTTGCCGCTAACGCTGGTCGTACGGAGAAAGAGCTGTGGACAATAGAGAGACAATCTCTACAGCCAGACGTATACAGGGAAGGGAACGAGTCGGCCGGAGCTGTTATTGCAACGTATTTCGATGCCCAGAAGGCAGCGCAGCGCCGGCCGAGGCGGGCGCAGGGAGCGGGGCTCACCGGCAGGCCAAGCCGGCTGGGTGCCTGGTGAGGGGCTGAGCTGGCCGCTGCCGGGGTCCTGATAGGCTCTTTCCTGCCCTCCGGCTCCCCACTGAGTTCTGCCGCTTCCCCGTGTTCCTCACGCAAGTCTCCAGATCTTGGCTTTCCCCCTAGCCACGGGTTGCCTTTCCCCGCAATCACACGCTGCAGTGCTAAACACAAGGGATTTCCTCCGTGAGATATCATGCTCATCGATCCGCCTCACCTTAACAGACCTGCGAGACTCTTCGGTATTGTATGGCTTCTCTAAAATAGTTCCGTTTAGGTTTGTAAACTGTCAGGAGCAGGGAGCACAGACCGAAGCGCCTGTGCCCTGTGGCTCTTTTCCTTCGAATTAAAAGCTTATAGCTGGAAATGAAGGAAGAGTTTTGCCACCTTCGTTGCAACTAAGGAAAATTCCCTAAACCCGAAGAAGAAGTGACTAACAAGTCCCGAGGTGAAACCCACCACCCGAGAACCAGCTGCAGCTGCTCCTTCACCTCAGCCCACGGCCACTCCAGCGCCGTTTGCCCCGGTCCGGGAGGTGCCCCCCGCTTCCACCTCGAGGTGGCCGCGCCAAGCGGGAAACGAGCGTCCTGCCTGCCGCGCACTGCCTGAGTTGCGGCGTGAACGAATGCGGGAGGGGGTTGCAGCAGCGAGTCGCCCCCCTCGGCCCGGGAGCCAGCCCAGAGCCTGCCTTTACATCCCAAACGTGTCTACGGGGCGCGGGATGCCGGGGCAGCCCGCTCTTCCTTTCCAACCGCGCTCTCGCCTAGGGTGAGAGCGAGTGACGGCGGAGCTCAGCAGGACATACCGAGCATGTAAGGCTGAGGACTCGTACCCCGAGGCATGGATGGTTTTAATTACTACGATTTATGTAAATTAGCAAGATATCAGCCCTTCTGCCCTGCCAGGCTCCGACCTGGAAGCACAGCATCACCCACCCACGTTGGATACCATCCCCTCCCAAGCGCTCTCCAAGTTCCTATGGCCGGCGGAGTCCAGATGGGAGTAAAGACACCAACAGAACGGGGAGGACAGAGCCTATTCCGAGCGCCCGCCCCGTGAGCTTCCCAACGAGCAGCTCTCAACCTCAGCTCCCCCGCGCTCATTGCCCAGGATGGCAGTGCTCATTAGCGAGCACTGTGCCACGAAGGTGCCATTTTCGTCCTCAATCCAAACTTTGCCTCTTAACACACACTCTCATCTTCGTACGTAAACCGCCCGTGTTAATTAAACCTCCAGTAAATGTGTAGGGAGAACCCTCCGCTCTGCCACACAAGACAGCAGATGCCGCCGGCTCCTGCCACGCGAAATAGTGCTCAGTGAGCAGAGCCGTGGCAGGATCTCATGGGGGCCCGGTGCCGGCCCCCACCTCCCACCCTCGCTGAAGGCAGAGGCAGGTCAGCCTGTGACAGAACTGAGCCCGGTCGGCAGCTGAGGGTGCCCGGCTGGGGATCTATAGTTTTCGTTGCAAATAACCGAAGGCTGCTGATCTGCCCAGAGAAAGGGGACAGAAAGCGCAGGGGATTTCGAGTGAAGATAAACAAGAGGAGTTTTATTAAACTGTTAAGGGTGAAAACGCCGTTGAACAGAACGAGGAAACGCACCCTAATACACATGAGTCACAAACATCCCACAGCCCGACTCCAGCAAGCAGAGGCAGCTCAGAGCCTCCCGGCCGCGCCACGAACAGGGCTTGTCCCTGGCGAAATCATCGCAGTTGGAAAGCTGCGAGAGGCTGACCGGGTAACGTTCAGGGTTTTCAGGCTTTCGCAAGCCCTGTACTGGTACCGAAGGGGCTCAGCAGGGAGCTTTTTGCAGAGGGGTCACACATGGAGCCGCAGGGCAGGAAAAGGCCAAATCCTATAGCTTTTCCTCCTGCAAACAATCCTATTGTCTTTTTCCCGCGATTTCCAAACTTTGACAGCCGATATGCACAAACACAAAGAGTTTCCGAGCTTGAGTTGGTACTTGGCCCGTGAAAGGGCCCTGACTGGTCCAGGTCTGTCTGCCCGCTCTCAGCACCTTCAAGAGTGGCCAAAAGGTGACCCGCTGCC